CCAGGCTGGCCTCGAACTCACAGAGATCCACCTGCCTCTGCCTCCCGAGTGCTGGGATTAAAGGCGTGCACCACCACCGCCCGGCTTACTTCAATTATTCTTTAGCTCTAAAGTTTATTTAGTTCTTTGTGTGGTCTCTTTTAAATGTTCTCATTTTTTTCAGACTTTTTTTTCTGAGCTTGATGAGTTTTTTTTGAGAGTTTTATTATTTTTAATTAATTTATTCTTAGACAATTTCATATGTGTATATAATCTATTCTGGTCACATACCCCCCCCCCACCATCCCTTACTCTTCTCCCACACCTCCCCCTCTCCCACGCTTCCTTTCCTCCTACAAAATCTCCACCATACTTTGTCTTTTGGGGTTTTTTGTTTTGTTTTGTTTTTCGGGGTTTTTGTTTTGTTTTGTTTTGTGACCTACTGGGTTTAATCGGGTCCTGGGGACATGGACAGGGAGCCATGGAGCCTTAGTCACTCATGGCTGGCTATGTTACTGAAGAACATGACTTTCTCTCCTCCAGCAGCTCAAGACTGCCATTAGCTTTCCTGGGTTGGGTGGGAACCCCGTTAACCCCTCATCCATCTATGATTGAATGTTTATGGGTTCAGTCTTTTGTGGGTCCTATGCAAACAACCCACAGCTGTTGTAAGCTCGTGAATGTCACGGCCATATCATGCCCAGAGGATAGCATTTTATGGCCCTAGTAGGAAAGTTGTTTTTTTTTCTTGTGTTTTTTATTTTTATTTTGTCATTGTTTCTGTGGCACTAGATAAAACCCAGGGCCATGTGCACGTCAGGCAAATGCTTTACCATGGAAGCACATCCTAGTCTGAGGATTTTCCTCCTCTTCCTCCTCCTCTTCCTCTTCCTCCTCCTCCTCTTCTTTGTTACAGTTGTTATTGGAGGAGGATGTGTGTATGAGTGTTTGTGGGTATGGCGGCACACACACTGTGGTGCATTCCTGGAGGTCAGAGGAGTGGAGTCGAGTCTGTGCTCCCGCCTTTACGTGGGGCCCGGGGGACCAAACACAGCTTACTGGGACTGTTCGGCAAGCACTCTCTCTAGCCCAACACTCTTTTTCAGATCCCGGAGCCCGGACGATACTGGCAGAGGTTTTGATGACCACAGGTGTAGGATGAGCAGTAGGGGTGGAATGCGACTGTCAACAATGGATTTCTTATAGGTCCTCGATGCGATTCAACTGTATGCACAAGCTTGGAAGCCATTCCTGGTGAAAAGACAACCTTCGGCCTCTTCAGCCCCACGCCTCTCCCCGGAGTGCCTTTATCCACTTAGCCATACTCTAAATCTTCATCTCATTAGAGATTTTGTGAGGCCTTCTGCCTCTGCACAGTCTTCCTGGATTGAATCCTACAGTTACCAGGTTCTCATGATTCTCTTCAGTCTTTCCCATCTCTTAATGCAGATTTGGTTTTTGTAACCTTAAAAAAATTTGTGTGGGTGGGTGTTTTGCTTGCATATATGTCTGTGTACGACATATGTGCAGTGCCTGAGGAAGCCATGAGAAGGTATCAGATCCCTCAGGACTAGAGTCTCAGGTCCTTGTGAGCCACCGTGTGAATGCTGGGAATTGAACTCAGGTCTTAATGGCTGAGCCATCTTTCCAGCCCCACGTGGAGACATTCTTTATGTATTGATTTGGTATTTCCACTCCATGTACTTTCTATCTGAGCCTTAAGCCATCACTGCCCAGAGAATTCAGGACTAGAATGGACCCCCAACTTCCGGCTCTCGTGTGACAATGAGTGGAAGAGGAATGGAAAGAGGGTGAAGCCTCTGTCACTAGGGAGTGAATGGCTCCTTACATATCACTTTCCATCCCTGGACTTGCGTTTACTTACCTATACACTGAGGGCTATAGAGATGGTCCCCAGGATCCTTCCCTTTAGCGTTTGATTTCCCCTTTCCTCCTTTGTGTACTCTGCAGGGAGGAAGCGGAACTCCAGCAAAACCCTGGAAACTGCCCTAAACCTAAGACACCAAAGGGCCCACGGGTTCTCGCTCCGCCCCACTTTCTGAGAGCAGCCATGGCCCTGACTGACGTCGACGTGCAGAAGCAGATCAAGCACATGATGGCATTCATCGAGCAAGAAGCCAATGAAAAGGCAGAGGAGATAGATACCAAGACAGAGGAAGAGTTCAACATCGAGAAAGGCCGCCTCGTGCAGACCCAGAGACTAAAGATCATGGATTATTATGAGAAGAAGGAGAAGCAGATAGAGCAGCAGAAAAAAATCCAGCTCTCCACCATGAGGAACCAGGCACGGCTCACAGTCCTGAGAGCCCGAGACGATCTCATCTTGGAGCTGCTCAGAGAGGCGAAGGAGAGACTCGGTAAAACCGTGTCGGATCTAGGTGTCTATCAGGAGCTGCTGGATAAACTTGTGCTCCAGTCCTTGCTCCGGCTTCTGGAGCCTGTGATGCTCGTCCGCTGCAGGCCGCAGGACCTCCACCTGGTGGAGGCTGCGGTGCAAAGAGCCATCCCTCAGTACGTGATGCTCTGCCAAAAGCATTCAGACGTCTATGTGGATCAAGAGATATATTTGCCATCGAATACCGCTGGAGGGGTGGAGGTCTACAGCGGCGATCACAGAATAAAGGTTTCCAATACCCTGGAGAGTCGACTGAATCTCGCGGCCCTGGAAATGATGCCAGAGATACGAAAGACTTTGTTTGGAGTTAATGCCAATAGAAAGTTCTTTATATAAGGCTCTGGATACAGAAGCTTGGGTTGAACTGCAAAGTCAGAAAAGTCTTAAGTCATTTAGACAAAGGGAACTAGGGGGGATACTTCTTCCTCTTTGGAAGCGCGGGTGTTGATTCCTAGCTTTGAATGGCTAAAAGAATCGCACACCGTTAACTTTGGAATAAAGCCCAAATGATGCTCAGAAATCAAATTCTAGTTCATCCGTGTTTATGACAGTTTCTGTGGCACTGTGAAGTCTTGGATAAAGGAAGTGAAGATGTCTTCGCCTTAGGTGAGATATGAATTGCACCTTTGACCTATGAGTCCCAGGTTCTAAGCTTATTCAAATATGAAGCGTGTTTTTTTTCTCCCTCCTTTCAGCTTTAGTAACTTGTGATAATGGCATTGAATGAGGGTCAACATCATAGATGTGTCTGGTCCAGCTTCCCCTGGGCTCATGCTCAGAAAAGCCCCAGGCAACCAGAAACTGAACCTATGATCTCACCTCCCTGTAGCCAATGCCTTGAAATTCTTGATATCTTTGGAGATGTGTAGGAAGCTGCATTGGGAGACTGGGGCATGTACCATGGGTTTGGACCCTTGGCTTATGCATGCTACTGATTTCAGAAGCTCGCCTGTATTCCTGAAGTTCATTCTTGGCCTGCCTCCAAGGCCCAGCCTTCTCCATTTCCAGCTAACATCGCCGCCACCTCTCTGCCCTTGTATGTATGCTGTGTCTGAGTGGGGTAGACACGCTCTATGGAGTTTAGGGCCAAGAATAATGATAAACATCTCCGATCTCAGCTCAGGCGCAGTGTGTCGTTCTTGAGGCTGATGGGAAAGAGGACCAGCAGTTGTCCAACTTCCCGGGCCCAAGTATCGAGGCAGGATCCTCAGCAGCTTCTGAGGGCATGCCTGTGACCTGCAAAACAATCCCCACACCTGCCAGAGTCCTCGCTCTGATAGCTGAATGCCTGTGGGAATTTGGGCTCTCTCTCCCGGAGAGCTTGGAGTACACTCTGGGAGAAGCACAGAAAAGCAGAGTGTGGTCCCTTTTGTTTACATGTGGGCATCATTACATACTGCAAAATGAATAGTGGGACTGGATGGAGATACAGCTCACGAGCGAAGAGCACTGGCTGCTCTTTCAGAGGACCCCAGTCCATTTCCGGCACCCACATGGTGGCTCATAGCCATCCACCTCTAACTCTGGTTCCAGGGGATCCAGTTCATTATGACCTTGGCAGGCACCAGGCACACATATGGTACACGTACCCACCTACATGAGGCACACGCCCGTGAGTGAGTAGTAAAATCTGTGCTGATTTTGCTTTATTTAGGAAGACATGAAATAGTAAACACACAGGAAAAGTGGAGAGATTGCCAAAAGAAAGCACTCCCATGCCATCACACTTCTGCTGCTCT